ATTTTTATATAAAATTTATATTATTATAATTTCTAGATTTTAAGCTTTATTTTGATATATTATTTATTAATTTTTATACAATAGTTTTTAAATAACAAATGAATAAAAAATTTCTAAAAGTTTTGCAATATACTGTATATATATATATACATGTATATATATTTGAAAATATAAAGAATAAGTTTATTTAATAAACTTTTTTAAATATATTATTAAAATATTATTAAATTTTAATTTAAAAAAAAATTAATTAATTTAAATTCACTAGAAAAAATTATTAATAAAAATCATTAAAATTATTTCAATGGATAAATTTGTCAAATAAAAATATATTTTATAATAAATTAATTTGTTTATAATTTTATTATTAAAAATATTTATTTTATTTAATGATTTAGTTAAAATTTTATATGAATTTTTTTAAATTTTATATTAAAATTAATTTTACAAATAAAAAATAAAAAAAATTTTAATATTGTTACTAAACCTGATAAGAAATATTTAATAATATTTTTTAATTTTATTATAGTAAAAATTTATTTTTCAAACGGAATTTATATATAAATTTATATTTAAAATTTGTAATCATTTAAAAAAATTTTTTTTTCAACTTTAAATTGATATTTTCAAATAAATAATGACCAAATAAATATTTATAAAACTTTAATGTATTATTTTGTTTATTATAATAATATATATTAAAAGTTTTATTTGATTTAAATTATTATTTATCAAATTATAAGAAAAATTTAATTCTGGTTTTTTTTTTGAACCAGACTGTAAATACTATATATATAATTTAAAATTATATATAAAAATATTTCTTTATAATTTATATTTGTTTCAGATTAAAAATCTTCAAATCACTTCAAATCATATTAAATAAATAATCATATATGGATCTTTTAGATATAATTAATATTGTTATTAATTATTTTTAAAAAAACAAAATTATTTTGCTATATAAAATTAAAATAAAATAAAAAACAATCTTAAAAAATTTATTAAAAAGAAAATCTCAGCTTTATAAAGAAAATAAGAAATAAATAAATAAAATAAAAAATAAAATAAAATAAAAAAAGCATCTAACTTTTCAAGGTATATAAAAAGAGTTTCTGTTTTTTTTTGCAATAAATTTTTTTTAAATACAAATCTCTTAATATATAGAATCTTTCTATAGTTTCAGCAATATACAATTGAAAAAGCTGATTGTGTATACTGTACGAATTAAATTTTTAATTAATTAAATAGTCTAAAAATACAATAAATAAATAAGTATGCGCGGTTATATCACGATCGGCTTAGCTTTCGACATCTTGCAATTTTCCCGTCAGTCTGTTCCAAGATGTCTTCCACAATCGCATCGACTTCTAATTCACAGGAGATTGATTTTGATTCTATCGACTTTGAAAAAATTAACTTTGAACAAATCGACGTTGATAAGCTTGATCTCGCCGATTCTACGGTCATCCTCTCGCTACTTCAGACCCCTCCTCGACCTGCATTGAGCATATGGCCCGTAGAAATTTGGACTCACATAGTTTCGTATATTGATGATATCCTTACACTGACTAGTTTGAATTTAACATGTATGACCTTAAGAGAGATATCGCGAGTCCCCTTACTATTAGAGTTAGTCCACAAACCACCCTTAGATAGACTTTATGAGTTGACCAAAAACATGTTTTTGAAAGAGAAACATAAAAAAGAGGGAAAAAATGATAGGGCGGAGAATGAATTATTCAACAAAGAAAACAATAATAATGAGAATATAATTATTAGGAAAGAGGGGAGAAAAGTGACCAACAAAGAAAGTTTTGAAGAATTAAAAGATGTCATATTCAAGATGCACAAATACATTGATCAATTGGTGCTGGCCAATGCAGGACCTGAGAAATGGACAGATAATGTGTTTGAATGGGTTGGATATGATGAAAAGAAAGATGTGACGGCAAATCAGGAAATGTTCAGGAGAGAGGTAGGTAGAATTGGTAAGGCAAAGACGAAAGCCTTTGTTGAATGGGAAGCGAGGGTAGAGAATGAAAAGAAAGAAATGAGGAGGTAACTTGTTTTTAGCAAACGTGCATATTTCTGCGTTCATGATTAATAATTTATGCGCGTACTTTTCCAGGGAACTTGCTAGGGTGTGGACTATTTCTGGAAAGATGTTTCCCTTCAGGTTAGATTGAATTTTTTTGAGATTTAGGATCAATATTCTTTGATTCCTTGATGATTTGTTGCCTTTTAGTCACGCAGAAAACAGGGAATGGAAAAGAAAACGTCAGGAAAGAACATTGATTGATGAGAACTTGTCTCCTCCGCCCCAAAAAGAAAACCGAGAAAATGTTGCTTCGCAACAAAAAGAGAATAACAAAAATATTCGAGATCCGAGACAATCTCAGTTAAAACCCAAACTCGCTGCAAATTTTCATAATCGCAATGGCGGTTCGTCATCGACCGCAAGCTCGAGATCGAAACCGAGACATTCAGTCACAAAATCATCACCACCCCAAAATTCCGTCAAACCCGACGATTCAAATGAGTCATGGAAGTTTTCCCATGAGATTCGCAATCAACTCAAGGCAAGACGTCCAAACACGGACAAAGGTGAGAAAGAGTTCGAGAAGAGAATTCTAACACCATTTGTTACACCAGTATATTTTAGCCACGGAGCAACATTTGAAGGCTTAAAAAATGAAGATTTAACCTCTTTCATGATCAAAGTTACGAAAAGATTTTGTGGAAGTGATGAGAAAGTG